AACCTTTATCGCCTTACCAAAATGTCGCCAAACTACCTGTTACCATATTCCAAAGATTAGCCTTTTCATTATTTACACAGACTCAGTGAGCTAAAAGCTCTCAAATCGTATAACACAAATCCCTTAATCGGAGAAGTGCTGAAGCTCAAAATGAGTTTCAAGGCCAAAGGTTACCGGATCCTTTATTTCTGGGTACCAAGCCATGTTGGTATAAAAAGAAACGAACTGGCGGATATCGCCGCAAAATGCGCCTGTGGGACATTACTACTGTTTATATGACTTTACTGTGAACACAATGTACATACTCCTTTTCTGGGCTTCACTTGTAGCTTTATTGCCTCTGATTTTTTAGTGTCTATGTAATGTACTAATTATTTATTTTTAATTAATTATTTTTATGCATTTACTGTGTTATAAAGAAAATTATATGTAATTATGATTAGATGTCATTAGATGTTATTTATTTGGAAAGTGCAAGTTTAGTTATACTCAGTATAATATATACATTGTGATTGAAATAAAATTCCTTAAACTTATAGTTAACTTGGAGTTAATTACAATAAAAAGTTTTTCTTGTATAAAATTTATACTTTACGATACTAAATTCGTCAAGAATCGAATTGAAGAGCCATGACATTTGAATCCATCACTGAAATTTTTGTATTTTTTATTTCAGATTTTTATAAATTTAGTTTGTTCTCTCCAGTTTTTTTTATTTTATTTTTAATTTTGCAGATGCCGATGGACATTATATTACAAAATGTTATTCTACAGCAAGAAAACTATCCTGTTACATTTTAAAATATAGTGTCCAATTTTAAGGAAATTATTAATTTTGTCTGGTGTTTATTGATTTAACCTCTTCTACAAATTCAACGGCAGCTTCTGCGAAATGACATCTTTCTAAGGTTGCATTTCGAACTGAGAGAAACGAAGGGGAAAAAAATCGTCACCCGTGGCGAAAAGTACACCAAAGTCTGGAGTCAGTTCCATTTCATGCCCAAACTCCTGTAGCTCATTTCTGTGCCACTTTTTCACCCAGTTTTGAATGATGCTCGGTCTAGTATATAAGAGGTCTATGGAACCTATAGAGCCACAAAATTTAAACACAATGCTATGCAAAGCATTTAAAATGCTAAATTCCCACCAAGATTGCTCAATAGTCCGAACTTGACCCTGAACTAAACTGGGAACGTGTACTATCTCCTGTACATATACGTATATCTTATGTACCTCCCCACCCGTGGGCCGAGAGAAATTTCCAGTGCCTCGATTTCTCGGAAGTGCTGGAAGGCACGTACGGTTACATTTACGTATAGGGCTGAATACAGCTACGGTAACATATAGGTATCAGACCATATATAAAGAGGGAAGAAGGATCGAAACAAAATTGCCCTAACCATTAGAAAGTATATTGATCATGATTTTAGTTGCTAAAAATTTTATTGTATGTTTTTCAGAGGGACGAAGATATATGCACACGCCCGTGAAATTAAACAAAGTTATAAAACGCAAATTTGTAGAAGCTCAATTGGTTATTATCAACTTACTGGGCCACCGAAGATGAAAGTGGAAGAAGAAAATTGTATCCTTTCATTTAGTTTCAATTTATTCTCTTCTCACATGCACTCCTATCCAGTCATTTCTGTGTTCTTAGAAATCATTCATGTGCTGCTGTTACATTATGATTAAAATTAATATTAAAATTTACCTTCAAGTGAAATTATCAAAAAATGAAAATATTATTATTACACGTATCAGTGCTAGCAATACATATAAAGAACATTGCACTGGCATCGGGCAATGAATGTAACTTTACCGGTGTAAAAATCAATCTAGTTAAGGTTCAGCCTGTGATTAAATCCATCTGTGTTCGATGGCCTTTTGTGAGTGCAGTTCGCAATTAACACTTGAGGTAGCCTTTTGCAACTCCAAGGAGTTGATTCCTCTAGATAAGGGGAGGGTAGGAAATAAATGCCCGTTTACCTCTGTTAGCCACCAGGCGGCCTCGTCCTATATCACTCATCATTTGTGTCCAAAGGCCACGCCGGAGGTTATCTGATCTTAGGTACGAGACTACATTTTCAACACCCTAAACACTATGTTGCCACCAACTCTATGCATTTCACAAAAAAAAAAAAAAAAAAAAAAAAAAACTATGTTTAGAAACTTCAATGTATTTCTGCAAAATCCTCTGACATTCAATGTATTTCTGCAAAATCCTCTGACATTTCCCCTATGGATTATTGCGCCTCTTCTCTTGAAAAGAGCTTTTCTAAATGCAAACGCACCATAACTGATTGGACTATGAAAAGAAGTGGCAGTCATAGAACCTTTACAAATTTTATGAAAAAGCTTCCTACCATGAAAATCATGATGCAGATGTAGAGTCAAGAAAAAAGGCTATCAGCTATATGCATTTAAAAATATACTTTACATTTTAAACATTACCCCAAAAATGTTCTGAAATTGTGCAAACACCTTCTGTAAGTGTCTAAATAACCGGGAAACTTACTGTTAAAATGAATATTTGCATTCCGTTGTATTGTGGGTACTTATTTATTAATATTGAAAAGTTTGATTTAAACTAATTGTCTATTACATTTAGCTTCTGGTACAAGCTACTTGGCATTTTGATGAATGTGTATAACATATCTAACTTCTGTGAGATCTTTCTTAGCAGTAACTGATATGGAATTCATCGAAGTGCTCATCGAAGGTCTAGAAAAAGTCATTTTGTTTCCTGAAGGTGGACGAGAAGTGATCACCATCCACTCCTGAAGCTCTAGCTCTGAAAGGCTGGAAAACCTGCGGAAGCAGTCTGTAATATGGGTGAGTGTCCATCTCCAAAAGAACTGTTGCTGCCTGCTCTATCAACTATCTTAAAAACTTCTTAAAAACTGGTCTTAAAAGCAACCATGGATGCACTCTGTTTGTTGTTTCATAATGTTACTGTTATAATTTTGTACATACTTCCCCTCTATCTTGTAATTTCATTTCTTTACATAGTACTCGATTCAGTGCCTTTCAGTTAAATGAACTTAGACTAAGCAAATGTATTACTTAGTCTTGTTCTTAAACAGCATTTAAGGCAAAGCTATTATTGCTACATTTTGATTGAATTTGCAAATCAAATCATCAAATAACATTTTAGTCGAGTAATCATCCCAGATAGTGAGACTCATCACTAGAGATTAAAAATCATATCTGCTGATTTTCTAGCTGAAAATTATGAGATCATTGTAATATTTTCCTCTCAGAATCTTACCTTACTTTTCCTCCTTTAAATTAGAATGTGCTGCAGTTTATGCTAATGTGCTGCACATATTTTCCAGGATTCCTGTTTCTTTGACATATTTATGATTTTTTTAACAGAAAAGAAAAGTACTTTACCAGAAACATTCTCATTATTCCAGTGATTTTATTTCACGATAAATATCGTGTCTACCTATTATCCCGGATGAAATTAATTTTAAAGAAATTTGTTTCAAGTAATTTTCATGGTTGTGCCAGGATAATTTTCTTTTCATATCTTAAGCTGAATAATTCAAGTTTATCTTAATCACATGTATCGTCGAAATAGCTTTCGAAGACTTGCCGTGTATGTTCTTTCGTCTCATAGATACAAATTCTGTCATTCAGAGATACGAATTAGATGCCCGCAACCAGCTTTTTATACACTTATCTGTTATTTTGTGTTATCTAGTCCATGGACTTATTGTGTGTACACAAGTCGGTGCTACGTTTCACCGTTCTAGTAAGTCGACCTGCCGATATACCTGTGTTTTAAATTAAGATGTGTTTGTGTATTTTATGCTAGTCCAGTTATATTTTCACAGAGCTTTCCCATTTGTGTGTTAATTTCATAAGAATAAAATAAGACAATTCCTGACATGATCTATACTATAAAGCCCAGATGTAATCAAATAAATCTTTTTAGATTCATCTAATTATATAATCTATTACTTTAGTTAATGTATGGTGTCCCTTTACAATTTTATTTAGCATTTGTAACAATTAGACTCCTTAGATATCCCTTTATTTCTGAAAGATCAGATGCCTTTAAGAAGGCAAGCAGAAAGAAGATTCTTTGAAAAATCACTTTTATATTATGATTTGTAATTGCTTTTTAATAAATTGTAATATAAAAAATGTCTTTCGTTGTAACATCAAATACCAATAAAAATTAATTTGGAAATTTTATATATTGGAAATCAGCACAGGATCAAATCAGAAAGTAATATGAATAATAAATGTTTTAATTCTAACTTTATGTTTACATTTTTTTTTTAATGCAACTCTTAATTTATTTATCTACTAAAGGTTAGGCAAATAATATGTTCCAAAATTGTAAATTCCCTAATCAGTCTGAATCCAGACGTCCATAATCCGGAATGATCTAAAATCCGGACCTCAAAGCCACAAACTTTTTTTTTTAAATTAATGTTTACTTTTTTTTTTTTTTTAATAAATTGATGCATGCGCATTCGATTTCTTATTCCACAATAAAACATGTGGAGATTTTCCCTTAAAAATACCAATTCTTAATTTCACTTAGGCACTAAATAAAATACCTCGTTATAGAAAAACAATCATGTAAGCATAAATTTGTGAGATTAATAATTTGGCTCCGTAGCTGAGTATCTCTTGGCATACATTTCAAACCGAAACATTCACCTATTTCATATCCCTGACGCCGATCTGGCGAGTCATTATTTATTATATTTTGCTTTCATCACTGCATGTTTATCAATACATGACAACATCTTCAGTAATAACTCATGCTATGATTTCTAAACTTAGTAATTGAATAACAAGAGTATGGAAACCTTTTATGCTAACATTACAAAAATGTTGATGAGGAAAAATTCAACAAAAATTTCTTTTCATATGCTAAAAATAGATTTTGTTAATGAAACTCATTGGCCAAAAGATTACATTTAGTGCTATTTTAATTAAGAATAACTGATACGTTATTCACCATAAACTCAGAAGCGATAGAATATGCAAAAAATAGAAATTTATTATTCATGAAAGTTATATTTACAAATACATTTACAGAAAAATTCATCTTTTATATCTTACTGTGACATTTTAGAGTCCTCTTTGGGAACATCTGGAGACTGTTTATCGTCCTTAGAGTTCCACCACCTTTTAATTCTATTTTTTAATTTTTTCACTAAAGTATTATCTTTATTTTCATCAAGAGGAAGTAAACTGTAAAATAAAAAAAGAAAATAAGCATCATATTTGTAATATGAAAATAAAGAATACTATATAACCTGTAAGTAGGAACATGAAAATGAAAATTGTAAAGAAATTTTGTTAAAATACAGAACAAGAAAATCTGATGTCTGATCAAATCTAACATTCAAACAGAAAATACAATAAACAATCAAATCACAAACAAGAGGACTGTCAATAAACAGGTCAAATATGTGGTAATAAGAAATACTCAGGAGTTATTTCAAAAGATGCCTCCATGCAAAGCCCAATCATACCTTTGAATTGACTCGGGGCGTTTTTGCTTGTTATGGAAGGCATGTCCAAAGACTAATTTACATAACCTGCTACGAAGGCCTCACCTTTTAATTATTTTCAACACTAGCCCCTTATATGTCCTAAAACAATTACTATAAAAAGAAAAAACACGATTTTTAATGAGTAACCTTAGCATAATTTTATTGGTTCCGGCTACTATAATGTCCAAATTTTAATAGTAAACTAAAATAATTGCTTTTTTGATTAAAATAATTTAATCAAATGTTCAATGCAATGTTTTTAAACTTAATTTTAATTACTGGCTTTACTTCACAGACATATGTGGCTACACATGGCATAATGAATGCTGAATATGGACAAATAAAAAACACATTTTATATAGTTCTCAATTCTGATTATACCACTACAATGGTTGCATCCAAGTCTGGAGGCACTCAGTAGCAGACATCATTATTGCTGCACTATTTTACTGTTCTCTCACCTGAAGTTATGATATAGAACACTACTGGATTTTATTCTGACACTTCCCTAACATGTAATGGCAACACACTCAAAAGCCACTGCAACATCTCTGAAGTTTTGAAATCATTGATCCTCCCTAACTTTCAAGTTTTGCATTTGTTTGTTATAAGTTTCAATTTACAAAACTGCATGTAGCATTCAACAGTTCTTCATTGCCTACTAGCTTGTACTGCTGCCTTGGCCTAGCCATTCTCCTGATATGTCAACTATCAAATGATTGGCAGGTAAATGATCCAGGATATATCAGTTACAGCTATGCGCAATGAACCACAGCAAAATGTTGAAACAGGGTGAATCTAAGCACACACCCAAAGCCATTTTTTATACTATACTGCATAAAAATTAAATACAAACTAATAAGGATTTGCTTCTTTGAAAAAAATTCCAGTTCCAAGAACAATTTTACAGATAAATATATAATAGTTGGCAATTTAATAAAATTTTCTGAAGAAAATTAGAATAAATTCCAAAAGTTCTTTTATTTGTAATAAATTTTACAACTGCTTCCACTGTTAGAAAAATAAGAGAGTTTCAAATGGAAAATGAAAAATAAAAAAACTCTAATTGGAAATTTCAATTTCTTCTTAGTACTATTTTAATTACCTTTCAATTAAAAGTAAAATAATTTTTTTCTCTTAATCTAACAATGATAAATAAGCTCTAATTTTTAAGTAATCCATACTATACAAATATTCATATAAATTAATATAATAAAATTTTACAATTCATACTAACCTTTTTGTGGTAATATTATGTATTGGCCCAAAAGCTAATGCAACAACAGTGCAAGTTAGGCAAATGACATTATATGGCATACTAAAATCAGGAGTTGGTAAAGAAACAAGTAGGATTTGTGTGTGGAACCTCAAAAATCTACCAGATCCTTGTCTAAGAAATGAAAAAAATAATTCAACTCAATTACAATAGAAAGCACATCTGAAAATCCTTTGATCCTTTTGAAAAACACAAATTTTTTAACTTTATAATGAAATAATCTCAAAACTTTTTATATTGTAAAAATTCTTTTAAGTTTGCATATGTTGAATTGAAAAATAATTTTTCAGTACAAAATATGGCAAACTTCTTCGAAACAATCTCATATTAAAAAACAATTCCCATTATTATTTCAAGGGAAAATATGCTGCAAATATTAACTTTATACATGTTCTATGTGTGCCAGAGTAAATCTGATAACTAAAAGAGTACATTTTTAAAGAGGCCACCTTGAAAGCTAATCTCAAATTCTCACAAAACTGCTATCCTAGAAGGCACAGTGGTTAGTGGAAATTAACCACTAGTCCAAAACCAAGGGTTTGGGTTGACTTCCATGTAACCCATGTGGCATTTTAACTCCCTATTAAAATTGTTCGTACTCCCCCCCTTCTTGTGGGTACACCACTTTAGACAATGTTCACAGTGATGATGCAGCTAAATGACCAAACTTTTAGCTGTATTTCCTCATGAATATTTGCCAATAAATGTCTAGCTGTTAAATAAATATTCTCAACAAATTGAAACTGCTAGTTGCAAGATGCATTTTCTAGTTAACTTTCATTATTTTTTGCATTTTTCTGGTCACAGTTGCACAAACTTTACAGCATTTTATAAACCAAATACTATCGGATACTCTTAAGAATTAATGCACTGATTTAAGTTATTTTTCTAATGCCAGTTACTAGTTTAAATTAAAAAAACTTCAGAATTAAGTTACAGAATGGCTTAAAAATGAATAGCTTGTTTTGGTATTTTAATATATAATAGTATTCATCACTTAATTTATAACTGGCCCCTTTACTTCAGTCAAAAGAAACACAACTTGAAATAAATCTCACACTGCTTTTACTTTATTAAAAACAGCAAACACTTTAGTAAACAGATTTTTTATTCTACCAGATCTTATATAACACTTAATGTTATTCAATCGTTCTATACTATGAAGTTACTTTCACAAAACTCAGCACATTATTTTAACCCTTTGTGGCACAATCTGCTGGCCTGGACACAGCCATGTTTAGTTTTTTTAAGACCCTCATTTTTCAAAGAAATCTTCCAGATTTTTTTAGGGTATAAAAGGAATTGTTTGAAAAGAAATTTCTATGTTATTTTATTATTATTTCTATGTTTCTATGTTATTTATTTCTATGTTATTTTATATGTTTCTATGTTGGCTGTATGCTAATCTCCTTATTCTATATTAGTTTTAAATTTTTACCTTAAAATCTTGCCTAAAATCAAACGGCGAACCCCAGGTGTGCCCAAACCCGACTCACTGATAATCTAGGACAACTGAGAGTCTGTATTCTTTGTTTCTCCGCATCTCATCGATCAGTTCATTGACAACAATGCTTATTTCAGCACTCTTTTCAAAGCACTATTCAATCAGTGTGCCACTTTGGGCACACACAAAATTAAAACGATAAGTGCCATCTTCACAAAATTTTACTTGTGTACTCCTCTGGGCCTAATTAGACTGCCTACCTTTTCTTAAAATCAAAACTCCGACTTTAAAAGGTAGCGTGCCAGAAAGAGTTAACCCTCTCACTTTGTACCTCAAGAGTAATGTAGAAGTAACAAAATTTGCGCAACCCGCAATTTCTGCAGGATGCATCTTTTTTCTGGCTATTTAACCGTGTAACTTTCCCATTCCTGCTTTTATTTCGGCTTCTCTGTGATGTCTGTTTATTCAGATCTTGATTAAACAGATGACATTAGTTGTCCATATTTCTGCAAAATATACAAGCATTTTGCGCACTCTTTTCGAAGCTCAAAGACGTCTGGCACGAAGTGTTTTCCGAGTGATATAACCTACATTCTTGACGCTATTTCTGACACTAAGAGCAGTTCTGACTCTGACTTCAAGTATACTGAAGATAGTTATAACAAAATTGATGAGAATTTCTCAGATTCCTCTGTGGATAATGATGAATCTGAAGATTCAAATCCTATTCAAAGCATTCAACAGTGGTGCAAAATTGTTACGCAAACTATTCCACCAGCACCTGCTTTATTTCTTTTTCTTGGCAATTACTGTGGAATGCTTATATCCTTTATAAGAAGGATAACTCACTGCAAAATATAATGCTTCTAGAGGAAATTATTGAGCTAAGCATTCAGAAGAGAATTCCAGTATTTTTGCTGGCAGATGTAGTTCAACTGTAACTGCTCAGCATTTTGCTAGCCATATACCCCCAATCCTGTCAAGAAAGAGCCTCGTAGACAGTGTGCTGTTTGTTGCTAAAAAAACTGAAAACAAACAAAGAAAATTCGCAAAGAAACACAAATTTGGTGCAAAGATTGTGAGGCAAGACTTTGCTTTGAGTAATGTTTCAAATTTTATCATACTAAACTTCATTTATAATAAATGTTTTGCACATATTTTGTATACTTTCATTAGTATATATGTTTTACCTTTCTATTTGAGAAAATAAATTACAGTTTACCCAAGATTAATTTTCAAAATTTTCTTCAACTTCACGTTTTCGACAACCATTTTTCATGATTTAATTATAAATTGGAAAAAAAAAAAAAAAACTGTTTTTACAAAAAACATTTTGTATATCTTAACTCTAAAATATATGCATATTTGAAATATGTACTAAAAAACACACAATTTTTTAACCTATTTTGATAGAAAATTATACAGCGAGAGGGTTAAGAAGGTCTGCAAACTTTAAGTATAACTTTAAAACAAATACATTTAAGTAAATAAATGTATAGTCACCTTTTTCAAACATTCTAATCTCTGCTCTAGTTCTCTTGTTAAGTTAATTACACTAATTCTCACCAAATTAGGTTTTTGCCCATTCTTTGTAATGCAAGATTCAAATATTGCTTGATAATTATTCATAATTTTAAGTTTAAAGTTTTAAAACTCTATAAAATGAATTATTTTAGATTTGCCTCTCAACTGTTTATCAGATCACATGCTAAAATTTTTATTTTATTAAAAAAAACAGAAAGAAAGAAAAGTTATCATTTGATAACAAAATTTGATAATAAACTACCCTTCTTTAATGCAGATGTAACAACGACGAATAGAAAACCTTTCAGCTAGATAATGAACTTTCCACTTTTACTTTTCAAAAGGTTTATTTCAAATGCATTAACATGAATTTTCCTCTGCTATAACTTTTTATTTACAATAAACAAATTTAAAAAAATATATCAATTTGATGTATTATATAAGTAATACATATAAGTATATAGATATATACTATATAAGTAAACTTGTGTTTTGAACATTATATAAAATGCATTAAATGAAATTACCTCTACATTGGCATACTCTTACTATTCTAAAAAAATCCGTTAAAAAAAAAGTATTACAATTACAAAATTTTAAAAAGTGTTTGATTTTGTAAAATATCATTAATTTTAGAAATTTAAAAGTAAAAAAATTACCTTATAAACTTCTTGATGGGAAATCCTGATATATTCCTGTTTGAGTCTAACAATGTACTGATGATAGCAGATCCAGCATAGAAACCATGGTTTGCATCAGGAGGATATTCGGTCCACTTCAAAAATGCAAAATTGAAATCAACACTCATTTCAGTATTTGATTTTGGTGGAAGAGTTAAAACTAACTCTAGATGGTGTGGATGTTTACGATCTTGAGCAGGTTGATAATGGAAGAAATCTAAATGATTAGCAGTTTTTAGTTAAAAAAATACCGCAAGTATGCATAATTCTTGTATATCAAGCAGATATATTCTTTTTAAAAAAATTATATTACAGCAAATGTAAAGTTTTACCTGGTGTAATGCTTTTATCATTATTTTTCACAGTTAATGTATGACTATATACTCTTAAATACCATGGTATTGTATCAAAATATATGATTTTAAGAGCTTTCACATGATTGTTGAAGAAAGTACAGCGAATGCCACCTTGTTCTTGCCCATAACCTGAAATACATAAACATATTTTTTTAAATATGCTGTTCTTAAATTCAAGTAATAAATAAATTGGAAAAAAAAGGGGGGGGAAGAAAATCTTAAAGCTTTCAGATTTTATATTACGCCCAAAAGGGCATTTTTTGTAACGCTTTGTGTCTTACCTTTATTTATTAAATATCATGTTCTTCACACTTTAACCATAAAATTATTACAAAAAATATACAGCAGTATCATAAAATAACTTTAAAAGAGCATATTTTTTTTTAAATTTCCGATACACAGCATTATTAGCAAGCTGCTAATAATTCCCCCCATACAAAGTTGCCATTGGTCACCTTCAGTTTGTTAATCAAAATTTCGTTTAAGTTTTAAAAATTTGAAATTTAAATTTCGGGCTTCTGAGTTTCTACGTTCGGTTGAGGGACAACATTACTCAAAACTGGATGACTCTAGATACTGTTGCTTTTTCATAATGCGAGAAACATTCATGCAGATTCTTCATTATTTAGTTTATTTAAATATAATACATGGTGATAATATTTGGTGGCAACAGTTTGAATATCATACATGTAATTTTAATTTAAAGTCATAGTTTCTTAAATCTATTGTATCAGAATTAAATAAAAATTATAGCTGCAGATTAAAAAATAATTACTCTTTTCTTCTTAATTTTCAAAGCTCAGCTCCATGTTTTGATGTTGAAATAAAAGAAAATGAGTTTTAAAAAGCTATAAAATTTATTTAAAAAATAATTAAAGCTATAAAATCTATTTAAAAAGCTCACTGCGATAAAATGGAATTCTCGTTCGACTCAGATTGTGAAATTCCAAAATTTTAATTTTAAAGTCAGTAAATCATATCCTTACTGATTTCTTTACAGATGAGGGTTTAAAACAGTGATCGGTTCAAAATAACATGAATACTTAGTTTTCCAAGAAGTGCTAAAATTTGTACAAGGCATTAAAAAAGCTATTATTTAGGATACATTTTATTCTATGCTTTAACACAAAGATATAATAAATTTAAAATTTGTAGAAAATAAGTTTTTCCTACACATCATGAGTTGGAAAATTATAAGAATACAAAATAAAATTAAAAATTAATAATATTTGATGCAGCTCTAAGTCATTTGACAACACTCTTAAACAAATAATCAGAGATTTGTAAAATATTTTAAACTTTCATATTTTCTCACAAGTATTTGTGAAATTATTGAAATAAGAAAGGCTGCTCAACAAGATTGAAAAGTAAGAGATTAAATCAATCTTGGAGTACAAATCTGAGCTCTCTCTCTCTCTCTCTCTCACTCACACACACACACACACACACACACACACACACACACACACACACAACAACAAAAAAAAAACAAAAAAAAAAAATAAAAAAATAAATAATAAATAAAAATAAAATAAATAAATAAATAAATAAATAAAAGCAAAAAATCACAAAATCTTAAAGGGTTTCAGATTTTATATTATGTCCAAAGGGGCATTTAATTAATGTTTTGTGTGTTACTTTTATTTATTAAATATCATGTCCTACGTACTCAAACCATAAACTTCAGTTCAACCACAATATCGCAAAACTATTTTAAAACGAGCATATCTTTAGAATTTCCGATACAGAGTATCGCACGCTGGAGATAAAAATGTCCCCCCCCCTGTACAGTGTTGCCATTGCTTGCTTTGAAATCATTTTGTTAATCAAAAATTCACTGAAGTGTTACGAAATATGAAATTGGTAATAAAACAAATTTCAAATTTAAATTAGGCTTCCACATGCCCATATTCTATGAAAGATTACGTTATTCAAATTTGTTTACTATTGTTTTATGACAACGTGAGAAACACATACATTCATGCAGATTCTTCATTATTTAATTTCTTTAAATATAATACAGGGTGATAATATTGGGTGGCAACAATTTGAAAAGTAAAACAACGCTTAACGTGAATCGATGCAAAATGCCAAAACAAAATTAATAGTCCTTCTGGGCAAAATGCTCCTTTGGACTAAAAAAAATTTATTGGAATGGCTATAAAAAACTGACAACATAATAGAAATAAATTACTGTAATTACACTAAATTAGGAAGTTTCAAAATATGACCTGGGCTACTGTACCTTTCACACCATGATTCTTTGTGCCAGAATAAATGACCCTGGATAATCCAATAAGAACAATACCTATATATAGTTCAGAGAAAACTAGATCCTGTCAAAAAATGTGCGATGCCTGTGACAAGTTCATAGAAAAACCTCAGTTTCAAGAAGAAAGGTCATGTTTTAAATCTGCAGACAGTTCTTCCACGCTGAAAAGTTTAAACCAATGGAACTTGACAAACATTTTACTCCATAGTACAGAAGGTGTTTACACATTTTTGTACCGATTTTGATTTTCTCCTTGAATTTAAATGTTAATTTTAAAATACAAACGTGACTGGCATCCAATTGGAATATGGTTTAATTATCGTCCACAGCATTAAAAATCTTTTCTTCAAAATGTCGCTGAAAAATAAACAATGGATCGAAGGCTATATTTTTGCGCTGTCGGAAGAGGCATGCTCTTATTCAATTAATAAAGAAAGATCTGAAAAGCACGGTTTTAATATTTCTACACACAAAATAAGTGACAGAATTAATATGAAAGGAAAGAAACACCAAACTTCACATCTGACAGGAAAAAAGGCAAAAACTGCACACCCAACAAAGATACGTACAGCCCTCATTAAATCCAAAGACACATCTCATGTTTTAAAGGAAAATCCAGCCCCCAAAAGAGCTATTGCAAAATCTTTAAACATCTATGTAAGAACTCTGAACAAAATTATAAAATCTCATTTAAAGCTAATCTAAACAAACAAACAAACAAACAAAAATAATAATAATGTTCATCGCCTAACACTGAAACATGTTTTGCACCTATTTTTAAACAAGAAATTCTATCTCTTTATCCAAACAATCTACTGTGTTAAGTTCCAAGCCATATTTGTTCGAATAAACAAATCAATGTTCACACTAGTCTCCATCTGATTCATCTCCTATTTTGTCAATGTTTCAACACTGTAACTTTGAGGAATAATTTTCTTTCTCTTTATAAAACCAATGTCTTTTCAATGAATTTCCTCTTCATTTTAAAATTTTCAGATTTACTTAGATGTTTCCTATTTTAAAGTACTTGTACTTAATGTATAGAAGAGACTGCTAATTTTATTTCTTTAACAACATGAGTATTGAAAATAAATATGAAATGGTATACGCAGACTGGTGCCAAAACCAGTGTGGCAAAATTTTTAGAATTTAGTGAGCCACCAAGCAACAAAATTTAGGACAAAATTTTTAGAATTTAGAGCTGGCATTGAGGTATGTATGGTACACTGTGATACATATGATAGATCTTTTAATTAACTGTCAGTTTTCAATTTCTTTGCTTTCTTTGATGCCTGTGTCTAGTGGAAAGATAAGAAAATAAAAGGATGATAAACATAAGGAGAAAATTCAAATAGTTTTCTTCCAAAAGATAAGCAATTCATCAAAAATTTGTCTTAAAACACATCTATTATGTGTTAATACCATGAAGACACTTTTCATTTTGTCACATTGTTTTGGAAATTGTAGGTCTATAAATCTTGCCTTTAGACACTCTGAGGTGCAAGCTCTAAAATTTGTCTTAAAACACATCTATTATGTGTTAATACCATGAAGACACTTTTCATTTTGTCACATTGTTTTGAAAATTGTAGGTCTATAAATCTTGCCTTTAGACACTCTGAGGTGCAAGCTCTAAAATCAGAAAGGAAAATTATCCTTCAAAAATGCAAAAAGGCTAGAAGATTTGAGAGAAAAAATTCAGAAAAGAGAATGGTGAATTTTCAAAAATTTCAGAAAAGTGAATTTTCAAGAGAAAACTGATACACATTTAAATATTCCGAAACAATTACACTGAAAACTCTAAACATGACAAAATATTTTTAAAAAATGAAACCTATTTTTAAATAATTACAATAACATCTTTGTTTTTCATAAGAAGTGTTTCAGAAACTGTGCTCTGTAGTATTTTTTATCTTGTTTTTCAGAATCAAAATATTTATTATATATAAGTCACCAAAATGGAAAGTAATGCCAGTTTAAAATATGGCAGAAGCAGTTTTTTCTTAAATATAATTTTAATCTGTTATCGTTATTTTTATGACATTTATCAATTGTCAATAATAATAATAAAATTTGTATAGAAACTGATTTTGAAAGCACCAAAATGTCAATAAGTCGCGAAATTTAGCACCACATAATAAAAGAACTCGTACAAAAAATATTTCTCCAAAATGTTAATTCCCACTCAAACATGGCAGGAGTAAAAAAACAAACAGAAATGTCAGATGAGTAAAATTGAGGACAAGGACTTTTAAGAACCAAAATCACTTACAAAAACTGTATTTGTGTCATACATCTTCTAAAGTAAAACTGCTTTTGCTATGCATACTTTTGACCAATATTCTGAAGTCAAAAGTATGCATAGCATACTCAGTTTTACATGTGGCTCCAATACTACTCCAATGGTCACATGTTCTCCAATATTACTCCAATGGTCACATGTTCCAAAAAAAACCTAAGGACTTTTAAATACTTTTAAGTATCATATAAACTTGTTTGAAGAAAACTATAATCTGTTCCAGCATTAAAATATTTTTCCACTTGCTTCTGTAATTATGTTAATGTCATATAAAATATAATCATGTTTTGTTTGCATAGTGGATCTCATTTAGATCCAAATAACTGAATAACCATATCCTTTTCAGATACAATATACTATACAAATTTATCATCATGCTGTCTGCAGCATTCAAAAACATTCCACAGCACCACAAAATGTGGCATTTCTCTTAAAGAAAGGAAAAAAAAAAAAAAAAACTTCCAACACTCAGCAATTACATTTAAGGCAAGTTTTTATAAGCAAAATTTTAGTACTAGTGAAACATCGAGTTGACCTAAAAACTTAGCTGCATTCATGCACTGACATTGACATTACACAACAATAAAACCTTGATTCCTTTTGCAGAAATCCTTATATAATTCAAATCTGTTTATTTTTACTGAGAACACAATTAAAATCCTTAATGGGCAATTGCCCCATATATAAGGCCAAAGGAATTTACTTCAGAAAATTGATCAAAAGTATGCATAGCCAAAGCAGTTTTACTTTAGATGTACGATACAAATGCATTTTTTAACTGCAAATATCACTGTTTGTGCATCAACATAGTGGCATTATTTTCCCACTGTATCTGATAAAATATATTTTTCATTTCACAATTTTCCAAATACAAAATATTTCTTGTCTTTTTTTTATTGCTTATTATAAAACAACGGTACCTAGAGCCATTAAATTTTGAACAACATATGTCTCCACCCAAATAGAGGCATCTCGAAGCTCAAATTTTGAATTTGTTTTATTATCTATTATAAAATAGATAATAAAACAATTCCAAATTTTGTAAAGCATTTATGAGTTTTTGATTAAGAAACTCAATGATTTCAAAACGAGCACTGGCAACACTGTACGAAAAAAAAAATTTTATCTCCAGCGCACAAGACTGTGTATCGGAAACCCTACAGATAAGCTCATTTTAAATATTTTGCGCTATTGCTGTGGAATTGAATTTTATAATTTAAGTGCGAAGAACATATTTAATTAATAAAGGCAACATACAAAACATTAAAAAAAAACTTTGGGCATAATATAAAATCTGTGAGCTTTCAATTTTTTTTTTTCTTTATTATTTTATCAGTTTTTATGGAACATTTTTTGCTCGAAGTATATAATGTTAGAATGAAATTAGAGATTAAAAAATATCTTTGTTGTCATCAGAAAGACGACATTTTATTTTACAATAATGCAACAATCAGTATGTTTTATTTATATCAATAATTAAAGTAAGCAAGCTTCAACGAACAAAAATATATTAATATAAAAATATTTGAATTTAACAAACATTCTCTATTCATAAAAAGCAAATTTAAAATTAATAAATTTAAATGAAATTTAATGCAAAAAAATAAATGATTTAATATTTAAGAATTATGATTTTTATCATCAATTGTACATTAAGCTTAATAACAAAATTCAGCCATTCCTTAGAATGAAATAGTTTACTGCAATTTAAAACCTCATAGTTAAATATATGAAATATCTTCCTAACCCGCAAAGGGTTAACACATTGCTTGCCAAAAGTAGCAAAAGAAATTTAAAGCAGATAAGACATAGTACAAAAAATAAAAAGCTGAAAAATCTATACCAAACTTTTTTTTTTTTTAACATTACCTGATATTTTGCGATCCACATAGAGAACTGGAGGAAATACCATGCCGTAAATATGAACACCTTTGTATGTGGCTCCAATGTTCACATGCCTCGAATGTTTAAAGATTTCTTTTAAATCGTAAACAGCAAAAACAGTTTCTTCTTTAGATGATGATTCATGTCCAAGTTCCACATTCTCCCTGATTATTTCTGATACCTCTGTATTTAAAACGAAAGGAACTCCTGTCTAAAAAGACTATTATATTAGTGGTGAAACAGTTTTGATGACAGTGATGAAAATCATTGCTATGAACGTTAATTACTTCTAACTGACTATAATTTGAATTATTTAATTTTAATTTTAAATATAAACTTAAACTAACAGTTTTAATACATCTTTTATAAGTAAATATCAAAGCATTTTGGAATGTTTTTAGAACTATTTTTGAAAACCTTAATTTTTTTTTAAAATTCAAGCAGAACATCTTCGACAAGTGTAACGATAAAACTGAAGCAGTAACTAAACACAGTAACTTTTCATTACAGTCTGGCATTTACAGATATAATTCCCTCCAGTTGAAAGTTAAAAAAAAAATCCTATACATTTCATTCTTTATTGATAATGATCTTAAAAGTAGAAAAGCAGTAGATATCTTTCTTCCTAGTTAATCCCACAAGTGCTCTACATCCAGGGTGACCAACTTCTATACATTAGGTGGCACTCAATATAATCATGTCTGTCCACTGTTATTTTGGAAACATCAGCGGAATGATAACATTAAACAATGAGGAAAAAATATCTTTCAAAACAGGAATTTAATTTAACTAATAAATATAAATACAACTAAAAACATATCCATATATTTCAGCATACAGCACACACCAGTGTAAAATGCATACTTATAATTTCAAATTACATTTTTAAAAATTTTTAGATATATTCATCGTATAAAGTGCACCCTTTCCTTTAAAAAGAAACCCGAATTATACATGTGCGATGTTCCTATCTTTCGAAGTCATTCATTCGAAGACTTTCCCTAGGCTTTCAAACAAACGTGCCAAACAAAACAACCACAGTGCTGGTTTCAAATAGTCATTCAATGTGCAAAAGAAAATCGGAATCGAACAAGGAGGTTTGGTGCTGGCAAAAGCGAGTGGAACAAAATATGCGAGTGGAACAAAAGAAATCACAATAATTAATATTACAAAGAATAAATATGCTTTCTATTAAAGAGTAATGAAATATCTTATCCTAGAATAGGGCTTCTTAAACGTTTTTCAATTGCAATCACCTTCCATCACTGAGATTTTTTCATGACCCCAGATATTAAATATAAAATAAATATCCTCTCATAAATAATTTACCTATCTGGTAAACAATAGATATATTTAAAAAAGTAGTTTTAGGATTTATTTTAAGCAAACAAAAATGACAAAAATTCTAATGACACAGATGTGCTTGTTTTCTGCTGCAGAACAAATTAAATGTTGGTATGATATTTGACACTGCTGGACATAAAACATCTTCCACATGTTTCAGCAAATGACATTTGGTTTTATTAGCACTGAAGCTGAAAAGTAGTTTTATAAAAATATGTGGTGCTGAATGACAGAAGAACATTTAATGCCATTTCAGAAACAGTGAGAAATCTAGTTCTAACTCCGATACAGAATTCATCAAGGACCTTTGTGAAAACTCAAGATTTAGGTTTGAATCGCTAGACAGCTTTACAAATGCACCTTATGTAACAGGTAATTAATCTCATTAATGTCAATCAATATAATTTTTTTAAAACTCTTAGGAATGCAGTTCCTTCAAATTGAACTTATAGAGCTGGATTTTTGTGACTCCAAAATTTCGATATGCGACCCATAGTTTAAGAAACTCTGTCCTAGAAGTTAGTGTTGTGAACTGGGAAATCGGTGGAATAGATTAACTATAGCGAGAAACAGTATATGTTTATTTGCCTTAAAGTAAGCAAAAAGAATACAAAAGAAAGCAAAAACTTTAAAGCAACTTTTATGGCACGGAATAATTTAGTTTTGACCTATGAAGGCAAAAAAAATATTTGTTGTCACATATTGGAAATATAGTTGAAACTCCAGTATTGTTTAAGATGGCAGATAATTAAAAAATGATGTGAAAGGAATAAAAAGTGGTTCACATAAAACAACAGGTCGTGAAAAATCTTCCCTCACTGTTATGCTTTGCTGCTTAGCGGATGGTATAAAATTAAAACCCATGGTTATTTTTAAAAGAAAGACAATGCCAAAATGCAATTTCCCAAATGCCATTTTTATTCATGTTCACGAGAAAGGATGAGTGGACAAAAATGGTGCAAAACTAGAAAGTTGTGTTAAAGGAAATGTTTGGCAACAGCATCCTGCTGCCTTAAAGCATTCAGAATGTCTTTTAGTTGGGACATGTTCAGATTCTAACGGATAATATTAAGAAACTGTTGAAGGAGGGTAATACAGACAGGGCTATTCTAGCAGATTACGCCATTAGTTCATCTTTTAGATGTGTGTATCATTCAATAAACCATTCAAAGAAAACTTAAAATGACAGTGGAATATGTGGTTGTTAGGAGGCAAAAATACATTTACAAAAGGAGGCCAATGCATCATGCAAGTATAGAAACTGTCTGAATGGATAATAAAAGCACAGAAAAAAAATTAACCCGCATTAATTAAAAAATTGCCGCCCAGACAGTATAGTGGTTAGGGGAGCTTGACTGCGATACCGAAGAGCCCGGGTTCGAATTCTGCAGAAGGCATGGATGTAAAAATTGACTTTTCCTTCATAGGAGGCAAAGGTGGCCCACCTATTAGGTGCCTCCATAATAAAGCGACAACCATATCTGGCCTTAGGAGAGGCCAATGTAGTCATAGGCAAGTGCCCACAATTGGAAAAAAATTTTTCAAAAGTCAAATGTAGCATATCAAACAAGCAGAATGAAATCATGGAATAGAAAGATAGATGGGAAGGAAGATGATTGTTTATTTGAGGATTACAGTGACGGTGAAGGTGAAACAAAATTCGATGATGTACCCGAATATATAATGGAAGATGAATATGACGAACTTTTCATGTTATCTGATAATGAAAATTTATATGTCATTCCTTTTAAACAAGCAGCATTTAAAGCATAGAAATCTAATTTTTGTATGCTCATTTTTTCTTTATTTTTATATTCGACGCATAACGGCAAACCATAAATTTCGATCTTATTTCTTTGTGTTAAAGGTGCGCATTATATGCCAAAATGTGTGGTAAGTAGGCACTATCACAGCGTTTTAATTTAAAAAATGAAAAAGTATATGAATTGTTCATAACATTTCTGGGAATTATTTCACAGATTTTGTACCACTAATCTTAATACTTACACGGAAAATCTCATTGGAAAATAACATGCTAATGCAATATTTAAAATTAGAAAAAAAAGTAACTTTAGTTTGAAGTCGGTGTCTTCCAGCATTTTTTTTCCATAGAAGGAAAAAAAAAAAAATCTGCACACATTTTTTTGCTTCTAAAGAAAGACCTGTGGCTGATTGCCTTCACAATCAATAGTTATTCAACAGTGATGGAAAATTACATTTGCTTTTTTCCCCTTAGGTATAAATGGTTAACTGAAACTAAAACCAAAATGTTTGGTGATTTAAATCCGGATTTGGCAACATTTGGTGACAAAATTTGTGGAGATTTAAGGTAATAAATTTGATGACTTAAGATCACTTTGAAGCATATATCACCAAGCCTACCTAAATATTTTTTACCAGCATTTCAACAGAAACAACAAAATTGCCTCTTTTACACTTATTAATAAATATGTAACTTGGTATTCTTAAAACCAAGAACTATTAATTATAAATATCACAGGAATTCTGCATATAAATGCAAGGACTTCTTGTAGTTTACTTCTGAAAGCATAATGATCTACTTGTTACTAAGCATCATTTTTGCTGTGTAAGGACTATATAAAAAATTTCATTTTGTGCTTGCAAAGTCATTGTGCTCTCAGAACTAAAAATGTTTTAAACCCTTTACCATATTTTGAGATATTATCGAGCCCTGCTGTAATGTATTTGACTTAAAAGAATAAACATTTTAATCACCCTAGTTTCCTAGACATCTGATGTTTTTTCTTATACTGCTACAAAAAAACCTCCAAATGTATGAAAATTGGATTTAACAAACTGTATGGATATCCTTCATAGAAATTAAAAAAAAAAAAAAAAAAAAAAAAAAAAAAACCTTTACATTACTTTTTTTTCAGATTTACTTCTAAATTTCTGTGTTCAAAACAACGGCTATATAAGACAGGTGTGATACTGAGTTCTAGGGAAATGAGGCAAGCATATATTAAGATACCATATGGAGAAAATAATTGAGACAAAAAACATAAATGGGCCCTCTGATTCAATCTAAATTCTTTGAATAAGCTGTCAGACTGATCTGTATTTTAGAAAATGAAATTTTTTTACCCTTACTGGTTTGTTTTGTTTGAGGATAAATGCTATCTAAATTCTGTCCTCTAAATAGGGGTTTTGCGCTCTGTGGTAACATCAAACATTCTTCTCCTAATGCTAATGAAAATGTAAAAAAAAAAAGTGATGGAATTTTTTCAGTTTTGACACAAAAATATAGACAAGTTTTTTTTTTTTTTTTTCCTATTATGTATTACATCAACAAAAAATAGCAGATTATTTTGATACTTGGGAGTGAAAGGTAAATTTGTCCATAATGTTTATTATTCATTTTTAGTTTTTTAAAATTTTTATGGATAAAATAATTATTCACACTTAAAAATATGTAATTCAATGGAAGGATCGTAACTGTGATGTTTATGGTAGCTAATATAACAAATCAAACTTCCAGTCCCTTGAAATTTTTATAGCAGGGCTCGATTGTACTTTGTAACTAGAAATGTATGTCTAGGATCAGCACTTAAGGAAACAATTTTTTTAACACATTATATACATTATATATAATTTTAACACATTATTACAACACATTATATATTAACACATTATTACAACACATTATATATTAACAAATGATATATATTTTTAACACATTATTACGGTAACCAGATATCTGAGATTAGTCTGAACAGTCAAGAATTTGTAATTACATCCAGGGCTGTATTAGCACTGAAACATATCTGGGATTGTTAAATAAGAGTGACTGTCTGTCTAATTAATTACTTTCTCTGTTGAAAGCACCAGCTCCAGCAGAAAAGAATTTTTTGAATTATGAACAACATTTAGCATCTAGAAAAATGTGAATTACAAGTGTTAAGTATAGAAATTTTTTAATTGAAAGTGAATTCTAAATATTCAGGTATTTATTTTTATGAAGATATAAAACCCAAGTCATCAGAACATTTAAAAAAAAAAAATTGGGAAAAAAAAGGGGGCAGGTTTACATTTCAGTATCTTTAACTTGCTGCCTTTGCTATAGGTTTCCTTTTATTTTTAACCGATCTTTACATCACACAGACAGTTGTATAGTGTACAATTTTTAGACTATTTAATCACCTAAATAAACTTTTAGTAAAGTGTCCTGAACATGGGCATTAAGCCCAAAATTTCAGAAAATATTTTAGAAAGGAAGAAGACATTTCAGAAAAATAATTTGCATTTAAATTTTTCATTTGGAAACTCCATTGTAGAATGCAGTATTACATCAATATATTTATTACATATATTTTACAAACATCAACATCCCCCCAAAAACATTCTGAACTTAATTTCAGCCAGGTCATAAGCCTCACCCCCATACAAATGCCCATAGTCCTGATTCTTGCTCCTAAACTGAATAAAAAATATAAAGAAAAACATTGCTTTTGGCGCGGCCGATTACACCCAAAAAGGAGGTGCACAACTACATGTTATAGCAGTCCTATATACAAAATTTTAGCATTCTGAGGCTACTCATTTTTGAATTATGTGAGATACATACATACGTATGTACAGACAACACACACACACACACACACAAAAAAAAAAAAAAAAAAAAACTCTTCTGAATCCATTTAAAATTAATTTTATAATCCCTTTGGGAGAAAGGAGTCTTTTATTCTATCCTTATGTACAGATGTCACCCTAAAAAATTGTTAAATTGCATTCAATGGCAGTCAAAATGGATGTTTTTGTTGAAATATGATACCCAGAATTTTTCGCAATTACAATACTTCCCTTACTTCGCACAAGGAAGGAAAAAAAAAAAAAAAAAAAAAAAGAAAGAAAGAAAGAAGCTCAATATATAATTTAAATAATATAAATACCTGATTAGAAGAAATGTCAACAAATACTTTACTGTTTGTAGCAACAGGACACGTATTTGAAAGAACTGATCCAAACAATTTTACAAATGACCAATCTAAAAAAATATATCATACATGTAAAATGAGAAAAACTGCATGAGGTATAGTAACATATGTTTTATAAATGTTTAAATGTTTTACTTTGCACTGAACATTTTCATAATATGTAGCAGTAATCCTTGACAAATGAGATTCTTAGAAAGTCTATTTTCAAATACTTAAAAATATTCAAAACAATTCATTTAACTTTAACAGAAAATACATCTTAAAAGTTATTCAAAATGCTTTGAACTTTTCTGACTTGTACTAAAAATCATAAATATCACAAAAGAAATGCTTTGCTAGAAAGCTAATTTTTTTTTTCCTCAAAAATCTATATTATTCATACATTTAAATTCTTGAATCAATAGACTGCTTTGAAATTTTCTGATTAATTAAACCATTTCTAAATGTTTATTAAATAAATATTAATGTATGCTTATTATTGAATGTTATATGTTAAAGAACTGGACTTTATATCTAGAATTAAGATAAGATTTCCATAATAGTAATTAATATAAACAAATATATAATTTATGGAATTTGAAAGCTTAGTAAATCTAGAAGTACTTAAGGACCATAACTAAAATTCGGACCCCCCTGAAAAATAAAAGTGTTTTTAGGAAAGGATTTACATTACTTTATATGAACTATTAATATATGAAATGCATAATTATAAATTCAGACACAGCTTCTATGATGTACAAATGTAGATTCAGAAAATACCTTGTTTTCCAAGCTGAACAATTGGTGGATCAAATACAACAGAAACAGACTGAACAAGTTCCAAAGCAGCATTTGAACAGGTTTCTTCCTATGATAATAAATTTTATTCAAATAAAAATTTTATATAAAGTTTATATTTATATCAAGAGCAAAAAGAGAGCATCAGTTTAAAAGAGAGATAAATAAAAGCTAATTTTAAATAAAGAGCTAAATTTAAAATCTAACTATCATTACAAAATGATATAAAAAGCATCCACATAATTCTTACTGAAATAAGAATTTCAATCTTATTGAAAAATTTTAAAAAGATATAAAATTTTGCAAAATAGTCAAGCATCTATATCCAAGAAAGAATATTTTTAAGACAAAAAAATTTGCAAACCATTCAGCAGAGTAATATTTTCAACTATCGGCAAATTTTTCCATGAAAGTAAAACATTACATAAGCTAATCATACAGGATTGCCCCTGCAACATGTATATAAAATGTCTACTTATCTCATTAACTACAGTAAAATTTGGATTTCTCAAATGTTGTCAAATTTCTCAATGTCAAAATTTTCTAAAGTTGTCTGACTGTTGAAATATAAAATTCAGAATTAATCTAAACTTCTTCTATTAGCTGAATTATTTTTTTTAATCCCTTCAGTGTTAGCTTTGCAGAATCTGTCATTGTTAATGATAGGATACACACCTAATACGGCTGTAACAAGCACCACAGAACCATGTTCAAAATGAGGAACAGGGATTCAGTTCTGAAGGTAAAACCTGAGAATAATTACCACATCTAAGGTAATTTTTCTTCATACAACAAATCTAAGGTAATGATAAAAAATAACATCATAATGCTTTTTATTAAAGAATTGTAGTAATAATTGCATTTTAAATCCTTTAACAATTATGATTGAGACAAGGACAGCTTTCATAGACAAAGTAATTTAAAATTTTATTAGTGTGAACTTATAATGGTTATAAATCTCATACTTGCATCACTGTTATAAATGGATGGTTTCTCTACCAATGGTTACTGATCTAAATCTCAGACATTTCCTTGTCAGATCTGCATCAGTTACTTAGAGTGACCAACAAGTTTAGTTAAAATGTTCAGCCCTCAAAAGAGGCAATAATCCATTAATAATTATACTTCGAATAAAAAGAAAATATCTCATTTCTGTTTTGCTGGGTCCTGGAACAAAGCCTATGGGGGAAACACATTGAAACATTTAAAACTGCAGTGCAGAATGTGAAGATCTGGGAACATTAACTAAAGCACATTCTTAAAATGTTTCCATTAATTAAGAATAAAATAAATTCAAGGTAATCACATATCTTGCTACTTCTATTTGTAAATTATATTGCACAAATTATGTTAAATGCATTTAGAGAATCACAGTTTTAAACTGAAAAGAAATGAAAAAGTAGTATCACCTTTAAATACCATACATTTATGGTACTCTTCTGCTATCCGGAATGGATTCACCAATGTAGGCATGTATGCATCTGTGGATGTATGTGCTCATATATGCATTTATGTATGTATGTACACATGTACACATATTATTTTATGGTGACGAAATCGCGTCATTTTGAGACATAATGGGCTATAGGAAAGCGAGAGTTTACTCTACACACTCCATTTTCACATTGTCATAAAGTGTAGACACTTAGCTATTTTACGAACTTAAAATAAATTTCGTGTTTCAATAAATCGATTAAATACGAATTTATTTAACAAAGGGAGCTTAACACTTTTTCAATGGGATTTTTCTAAAAAAGTTTATTTTTAAAAATGTACAGTTATTTTTCTTTGATTTTTGACGACACGTTAAACTTTCATCCTTGCGAACTGCTTTTACAAAAAAAAGAATTTTGGAAAAATGATAATATTTTTGTATTTTAAAAAAAATTTTTTAAATGAAGCTTCCGAGTACACTTCTCACATCTTTAAAAATGTGATTTTGGCAACAATTTTTCCTGTCTTATTGTTGTTGATAGATTTTTGATGAAATCGCATCATTTTGAATAGTTTCATTCTTTTAGAAATATGGGTTTGGCAACAATTTTTCATCGTATTTCTTATGTCACACTGTTTTTAAGAGATTGGCATATTTCATTGTCATTTTTATATATTATATAATATTTTTATTGATTTTTTTTTTTGATAAAGTTGTTCTGTGGAGTAAAATTCTGCGCGGAATTTTTTGTTTTTTTGAGTTTCTTTCATGTTATTTTTTGCTTATTTCACTGTTTATAAGATATTGAAAGTTTTGCATGATTTTTTTTCTCAACGGAAAGTTGGTTAATTTTTTTTATTAGGATAATAAATATTTGTATTAAGGGATATAGTTATTATGTATTTATTATGATTAAGATAAAAATACTTTAATTTATTTGAAACTTATTTCACTATCAAAGTTATTGAAGGAATTTCAAGCTTGAAATTTTATTGTAATTAAAAATACCACAGCATAAAAAACGATAAAATCGGGAGAATGCTTTTAAAGAAATCTTGAAAATTTTCTTAACTATTAAAATACTTCTTAAATGTTAAATCTCTGCATATAATAAAAGAAAAAGTATGTGTGCCTTTCGTTCGTACTGCGCATAAACTAATAGACCCAGGGCTGCAAAATTTGGTTAGGTGCATCTAGACAAGAGAGCGATTTTTTCAAAATTCGAATCACATTTTTTTTTACTTTATATTTTTGATTTTATCGCATCATTTTGAATAGTTCTATTATTATAGAAATGTGGTTTTGGCAACAGTTTTACATTCAATTGTATGCTGAACTGTTGACTTTTGAAAATCAGCACTGTTGCCACTTGGAAGAATGAGGGCGATAAATCTGTGCAGTTTTTAAATTTAATGTTTCTCTTGGGTACTAAACGTTTGTCGAGAGAGCGCAAAGGGAATTTGGTTAATTTATTTATTAGGATAATTAATATATGCACGTAATTTTTTTATATGTAATACATTTCTTTTTATGAAGTTGTTCTGCAGAGGAAAATTCTGCGCAGTTTTTAAATTGAACGTTTGGTATTCCCTTCAGGCATTTTTCCGGTGCATTTAAAAGCCAGACGAAGGCTGGCAGCGTAGCTGCTAGTAAATAATATAAAAAGAGTCGGTCCTCCAACCAACGGCATTTTCTACAGTGGATTGCCGAAAGGATGGGTGGTTATACAAACCACAAAATTTTTAGGGAGATTGATTGGCCGAGGTGGTTCACAGCATGGCCACCAAGATCACCGGATCTCTCATGTTTGGACATTTTCCTGCGGCACCATATGAAAAGCCTAATCTACCACTGAAACCAATATAGATCTAGTCACCAGGATTGCCGCTATTGCCGGCAATACTCGCAAAATGCCTGGTGTCTTTGCAAATGTGTGTTGGTCCCTACTCCACAGGTATGATGGCCACATTACAGCTGGCGGAAGGTCTTTTGAGCAATTTCTGAGAATGTACATGAATTACATTTCAGTTAAAAAAAAAAAAAAGTTTTTTGAAGTATCTATCACCTCTCATTCTTATGTTAATTCTTTAAATGTGACAGTGTAAACTACCCTTTAACTTTTGACTGCTTGCATTCCAACCATACATTCTATGATGAATACTTTTTGTATAGCAGCCTTCTATCACCCTCTAAAGTTTGATCAACTTGTTCAGATTCACCCTGTATACAGTGGTGGCCAAAATTGTGGACACATTTGGAAATTTTTATGTTTTTGAACTTTATATGCTTATAGAAAATGTTACGTTTCGCAAAATGCAAACTGGATATATCATTTTAAAGAGAATTTATTACTGAATTCAATACAAAACACAAAATTCAATTATTTGCAATACAAAAAAAGTTATATGTACTTTAATATAAACAAAAAACACAGTTATGAAGTGGTTTGTAATGTCTAGCTTTCCTGGCCAATCACTGTTCTTGTTCTTTCTTGTTCTGAGAACCAATGAAATGTTAGTAACTGCCAGTAGAAGCTGACATCATGTTTACACTTGAAACAATTCATTATTTTGCTTTGTTCTGTAGAAGGAGGACCTGTTTCTTATACACTGCAATTACAAGTAGGAATTTTTGTAAAAATTTTTAATATTTACTCAAGAAGCAATGACATCAAATAAAAGAGTAGATTGGAAACCTAGAAAGAGATGTAATATTATTGTGTTACGGGAAAGTGGTCTTTCCTATGCTGAAATTGCAAGACAGGTGGGTGGTTCAGTGACTACATCTGGAGTCCGAAAGTTTTGTTTACGATATCAGGAGACAAATTCAATAAAAAACAAAGAAGGAAAAGGCTGAAAAAGGTGCACCACATCTATTGATGACAGAAGAATAAAAAGACTATGTCTCCAAGATAGAAAAATACCATTAGCGACCATCAGAAGTGATCTGAATGATGCTAGTGTTTCTGTCAGTTCAAGAACAATCAGGAGAAGATTAACAGATGTTGGACTGAGAGGTAGAATTCCACGAAAAAAGCCTTATCTTAATTTTCAGCAACGAAAAAAAAAAAAAAAAAAAAGACTACAGTGGGCAAAGGAACACATTAATTGGACAGATGATCAGTGGTCACAAGTTATATGAAGTGATGAAACTAAGATATCGTTATTTGGTAGTGATGGGCGAAAATATGTAAGACGTAGAATAGGAGAAGAGCTACAGCCTGACTGCATTCAAGCAACTGTGAAGAACCCAGTTAGGATTATGATTTGGTCATGCATGTCAGCAGATGGTATTGGTCGCTTTCATGTCATCAATGGGACACTGAATGCCAGAAAATACATTGACACTATTCTAGAACCAAAACTTCTATCTTCCATTGGAGATCTCTTTCCCAACAATGCTTCGTTTATTTTTCAGCAGGATTCTGCTCCTTGCCACACGGCCAAAATATCGAAAGAGTGGTATCGTACAAAGAGCATTAAATTGTTGTCATGGCCAGGAAACAGTCCTGACCTCAATCCTATCGAAAATTTGTGGCACGGTTGAAAAACTCTTGTCCGAATGATGCGCCCATCAAATAAAAGGGAACTAATTGAGGCTATAATTGTTTCCTGGCATCATGTAATAACGAAAGAAGAGCTTAAAACTCTTGTCAGCTCAATGAAACGTCGATGTGAAGCTGTAATCAAAAAATAAGGGTACCCTACTAAGTACTGATAACTCACTGCAATCATCACTATCTAATGTATATCGATAACTATTATCGTTTAACATTTTCTGTATTGCAAATAATTGAATTTTGTGTTTTATATTGAATTCAGTAATAAATTATCTTTAAAATGATATACAAGTTTGCATTTTGTGAAATGTAACGTTTTCTATAAGCAAAGTTCAAAAACATAAAAATTACCAAAAGTGTCCACAATTTTGGCCACCACTGTACATTTCTGAATCAGGCCCTGATTACAGAAAAGTACCAAATTAAATTTAATTTAAAAGTTGAATACTGAAATTTTCAAAATTAACATGAAAAATATTTTACATACATATATTAATTTAAACTTTATTAATATAAGGGCTTGAAAGATTCTTTTACATTATCATTTTAGAAATTATGTTAGTTTTGCATTTAACATTTTCCTTAACTTGAATTCAAAAGTAAGCAAAAAAAATGGGGGCTTACCAATGGTTAAAAAAATTAGCGGTCATTGTAGAATTACCAATGGTACAGTGAATTAAACAACAGAACATTGGTAATTTTATAGCCTGAAGAATAGATTTAGATCATAGGAGTTCCTACTAAATCTACAAATAAATAAATGTTAAAATAATTTCTTTTTTCTCCACAAAAAAATGCCTGTCAACAAAGATATTCTTAATGTGCCTTGCCGACAATTGCAAAAATGAAAATTTGAAAATAAAAGACTTTAGTACAAAGAATTTTGGATAAAATAAATTTTCAAGAAAATGCAAAGTTCCTAAATTAATATCAAAAAGAGTTATACTTGCAGAAACAGGAAAGATTTTCTTAAATTAATCTAAATTATAATTCCAATGAAGACAAACAAAAGTTCAAAATAAAATTTTAAAATGTGCATTGACAAATGATTAATATTTTAATTCCGTTGCTTCTGCTAACAGCTGTTAATTTGTTACAATATCTGTGGTGCTAAAACTGTTACTTTAATGTTAGAATACAACAGTAATTGATCCTATAGTACATTGGTGAAATAAATTAAGAGAATTTGCATATTTGATCAAATTGCATGAAAAGAACTGAACTGAAAGAAAAACCACTGCTTCTAGATAAAAATACGTAAGTGTACATGTGTGTGTAGGCGTAGCCTGCAGAAAAACAGCGAGTGGAGGGCAAGACGAATTGCATTTGCTAGCACACCTTGGCAAATTTCTTGGTGTTATCTTGCAGCAATCGGTTAAATTCACATCAGAACAGTAAAAACAACTAAACACCACCATTTAGGTGATGGAATAAAGGGGCAAATTGTGGGGAGGCTAGAGACAGGCCAATCACAAGTCCAGATATGCAGAAAGTTTAACGCCCAGCATTGTGTGTAACCTATGGAAACAGTTCCAGGATACTGGATCCATCGAGAGAAAGCCTGGGCAAGGTCATCCAAGAGCCACAACAGCCAGAGAAGATCACTATTTGTCCATTTTAGTGAGGCGTAACAGAGGGGTCACAGCTTCTCAGCTCTCTTGGGACCTGTCCACAGGAACCCATGTAACAAGGGTGACTGTTTCCAAAAGACTGAATGAGAGAGGATTGTTTGCATCCCGCTCATGTCTACGGACAGGAGAGTCCGCTTAGCATGGTGCAGATAGCATAGTGATTGGTGTATAGAGCAATGGGCAACTGTTCCGTTCACTGACAAGTCCTGTTTTAGCCTAAACACCAATTCTTGCCGTACTTTCATATGGACAGAGCCAGGGACCCGCTACCTACCCTCCAATGTCCACAAAATCAACAATTATGGTGGTGCAGGTGTAATGGTCTGGACAAGCATCATGTTGGATGACCGCACACCTCTCCACGTCTTGGACAGATGTTCTGTGACTGGTGTGGGGTATAGGGATGAGGTCTTGGAGCCCTATGTTCGCCTTTTCTGAGGTGCAGTGGGCTTCAAGTTTCATCTTACACGATAATACCGTGATATCCTTCTGGTCGACGAATTTCTCGAGAGTGAGGATATTCGCAGGATGGATTGGCCAGCCAGGTTTTCAAACCTCAACCACATAAAGCATGTATGGGAAGTTCTGGAGAGGGCAATCGCAACCCCCCTCCAAGAACCATCCAGGAACTGAAAATAGCATTGCTGAATGAGTGGGACCAACTGCCAAAGGCACAGATAAACTGCCTCATTTCCAGTATGATATCGCGCTGCGAGGCCTATATGGCTGTAAGAGGGAACTATACCCCCTATTAACCCATTACTTTTGTGCCTTCTGTAACCGCTGTTTCAGACCTTCAGACACCCCATGAGTGTTACACACGAACACATATGTGTCTATTATAACTGTTGAATATTTATTTTGTTTGTATTACATCAATCTATGTTCACACCAAATTTTATTAAAATATGTCCAGTAGTTCTGGAGATCGTATATCAAATATGAAAATTCTCTTAATTTATTTCACAAGTGTATATCCAAATGATATTTGACAGTACTGAATAAAGGGAAATAGGTGCATTAAAAGCACCTTTACCAAGTTTAACACAAATTATTTAGAAATCAAAATTTTTTATAAAAAATAGCGTACAACAGAAATTAGATGACAAATAACAGCAAATGACAGACCTTACAGTTTGTCCGCACATCAACAGCAAGGGACACAAAGTTTGCATTGAAAATATTCAAAGCATTCAATAGTGTAGACAGTCCAGCCTGTAATTAAATACTGATATATACTATAAAAACTCTAAGCTGCATCCAGCATTTGATTAATCATCTGAGCAATAATGTCTGCTTTTATCCAGTTATAAGATTTGTATATATGCTACTTTGTTAATTATATTTAAAAAAATTTTTCTTTAATGACCTAAATATCATCCAAATGAATCGAAAGTTACAAAAATAAAGAGTAAAATATATTATTACACAAATCTAGTTTATAAATGCTACTCAAATACAACTCTTCTTAAGCAGATAAAAAAAGCCATTCTGCTCAGAGGATTAAAGATGTTCAGTACTTAACCTTTTGTGGATGACCTGACACCCGTGTGCATCAAATACAAACATGGATATGCATTAGCCATCCATAAAGGGTTAAAAAAATAATATAAAGTATATTAAAAGAAAAACCATTTTGTTTTCTAATTTCATAATCCTCTATAATTTCATTTTATGAAATGTGAAATAACAGAGGTATGTATAGAGGGTGCTGTTTACATTTTTGTAATGATTTTGATTTTCTCCATGAATTTAAATGTTAATTTTTAAATATAAGCATGGCTGGCATCAAATTAGAATAAGGTTTAATTGTTGGCTGCAGCATTAAAAATATTCTTTTCTTTAAAATGTCACTGAAAAATAAACAATGGATCGAACGCTATATTTTTTTGCTGCCAGAAGAAGAAAAACTCTTACTCAATTGGTAAAAAAAGATCTGAAAAGCATGGTTCTAATATTTCTACATGAAAAATAAGTGATATAATTAATAAGAAAGGAAAGAAACAGCTGAAAGTTTATATCTGACCAGGGAAAAAGCAAAAAATCCATACCCAATAAAGGTACGTACAACTCTCATTAAATCTAAAGTCGCTTCTCACGTCTTAAAGGAAAATCCAGCCGCCCCCCCCCAAACAGCTATAGCAAAATCGTTAAATATTTCAGTCAGAACTCTGAACAAAATTATAAAATCTGATTCAAAGCTAATCAAAACAAAGACAAAACATGATGTTCATCACCTATCGCAGAAATATGTTTCTTGATCGTTGTATGAAAACCATTTGGTAGGTGAAAAATGGAAATATATAGTTACAATGAGGCTTGGATATACGTATCTGACTGCAATAGAAAAAGATCAATTTACTACCTAAAAAAAGGAGAAAAAGGCTTAATATGTTGGTTCACAAAAAACAAGGAAAGTTTTTCTAAAGATTTTTTGGTTATTCTTACAACAGAAATCTTAAAATAAGTAAAGTTAAAAAAAAAAAAAAAAAAAAAAAGTCAAAATTACTTAGGATTACTGTCAATAATATGTTTTAACCCTTTCACTGCGTACTTCTTTTTTTTTATCAAAATAGGTTTAAAAAAATGCGTATTTTTTTATTACATATTTCAAAATCTACATATATTTTAGAGCTAAAATATACAAAATTTTTTTTTAGAAGAGTTTTTTTTTTCAATAAAGAATTAGATCATAGAAAAGGGTTGTCAAAATACTGAAATTGAAGAAATGATATAAAAGGAAAATTTTGAAAATTAATATTGCTTAAATTATGATTTATTTTATAAAATACAAAGGTAAAACATATGCCTGATATAATTCAAAGCCCCCGATGCCACTGAAGAATTTTCTGAAACATAACCCTTCTAAGTCAGACGCTAAGAGAACACTTTGCCCACTCCCAACTAGAAAGAACGTAAGTTAATTAATGCTTTTTCTGGCCTTTATATTTTCATGTACATTCACTTTTCTTATTATATATTTTTTTATTTTTTTATTTGTTTTTACAAAGATTGCATTATTTTTCTTATATTTTGTAATTTTCTAATGTTTATTTAAACTACTTTGAATTCTATTTCATAATGACAATTTCCAATGTTTAATTTTTTTTTTACAAATAAGTTATTGAACTCAAATGCATAAACACGAGGTGTGTCAGGGGACAATTACTTCGAGTAATTTATCAATTTTACTGCAGAAATTGCTTTTCACTCAAAATTAAATTAGCTAAAATGCTTCATCGGAATGAGTTCTTTGGATCTCTGCATTGGTTCTTAATCCCTTCTATTCATTGGAAATGTTTGGCCTGACTTGAATTGCCGGTTTGGCATCGCCTTATTGCTTGAGTAAAGGACGAAACACCTTCGTATTTATTTCTTAATTATTGTTCATTGAACGGGAGTTGGTTTGTTCTCCTTGAAAAGTCAACTAATTTCCATTCAACAACAATGATTACTTGCATTTAATTTATTCCTTTTACAATTAAAATTTTGTTATTCATGATTTAATTCCAGTCCCCGTTAAACATTTTTAACAATTTACATTCAAGTTACTTCTTGAATGTAAATTGTTAAATAAAAACATCTTTTGAAATAGAACTTACTAAGTATGGATTCACTCTTTTCAGATAATTCTACTATAATTAATCTTAGGAGATAATATAAATCAATATTATTTAGTAAATAAATTATTATTAACTTACTTTGCAGCAATTGCGCAAGTAGTAGAATAACTTGATTTCGCACTAAGTGAATTTAAGATTATACTATATATTATATATATCAATTTTTTCAATCAATCAAAATATATATATCAATTTTACACCACAGTCGAACGTTTTCAATATAAACTGAATTTTCCGATTCATTACCATCTGCTAAGGAATCCGAGAAATTCTCATCCGTTTCACTATAACTATCTTCAATTTACTTGAAATCAGAGTCAGAACTACTATCAGTGTCGGAAATAAAGGCTATATCACTCGTGAAGCGCTTCTTGACAGACATCTTTGAACTCTGAAAAGCGCACGCAAAATGCTACATTACGTACTCTTGTACAGTCAAAAGTCGTTAATTCGGACACTCATAATCCGGAATGATCTATAATCCGGACCTCAAAGCTACAAACTTTCTGCGCATGCGTCGCGTTGTAGTTTCTGCACATGCGTCATAAAAATATGTTTACGAATGCGCGTTTAATGTATAACGGACTGTATAAGCTAAGCTCTAATTATCTATTTCAGTTAATGTTGCAGATTGCGTTGTTCCTTAATCTTCGAATTGGATCCGGCTTATTATTTTTTGCAGACTGTTAGAGCAATTTTATAAAAGTAAGCTTGAACTTTCGATTATGTCAAATAGAATTTCCGATTTATATTTACTAATATGTAACGGATCTACAAAGTGAAAGTATGTTTCGGAGTCTATTAAACAAAAAGTGGAATTGCTGCAAAAAATGGATAAAGGCATATCTTTTGTTTATCTAAACTTAAAACGATTGTTTATCTAAACTTTGTTTATCTTTAACGCCGCGGCAGGCGCGCAATGAATTGGAAGTTGATCTGTCAGCACTATCCTTATCTTCAGGGCAGATGTTTTTATTTTATTTGGCTTATAATTTCTTACTAAATGTAGTATTTCATTTCAAAATACTCTCTTTGATATGATTTAAATCAAATGCCTCATCATTATAATTCGCTTCCGATAGCGAAGTAACAAACAGAGGTTATTGAAAACGAAAAAATTTCGATTGACAAATTACTTGGTATTCTCGACACAGCAATTATAGGACTTGAACAGCGGATATTCGTAACTGAACAAGAAATGTTTACAGAATTAAAGAGAATATATTCTACATAAAAAACGAAGCAACTTAAACAACTTACATTGAAAAAAATGTTTAATAAAGTAAACAAATAAATATTAAGCTTTTTTTTTTGTAAATTTTGATACACTTTAGATCATAATTGTTCTTTATTTCGTAAATTACGGTTTCATATTTTTAATTTTATAATTTCTTCATGCCATTTTACCAGATTTAAACTGATGATCTATAATCTGGAAAAATCGATAATCCGGAATCGCCGAAGTCCCAACGAGTCCAGATTAACGACTTTTCACTGTATATTTGGCAGAAATGTGGACAACTAACGCCATCTGTTAGCCCACATCTAAATAAAATATTAAACATCACAGAAAAGCCCAAAAGAAACCTTGCATGGGGAAAGAACGCGTTGCACAGTTAAATAGATGGCAAAAATACATCCCTACAGAAATCGCAGGTTGTGCAAATTTTGCTACTTCTACGCTGCCCGCGGAAATCGCGGGACGCACAGCGAGAGGGTTTGAACACCTATTTTTAAAGAAGAAATTCTATCACTTTATCAAAAAATCTTCACCATGTTAAGTTCTATCAGGATATGGCTCCAGAGCCCGATACTGCTCTATTTTTTGAAAAAATGAGAAATCCTACCAATGAATGAAAAAAATGAGAAGTCCCCTGATGCGTCTGCTATGGATTACTGTGCATTATGACTGTTAAAACATGCTCTTTATAAGTGGCATCCCAAAATATTGGACAGACTCTGGAAGATTGTGAAGGAGGAGTGGAATAAAATCAACCTTGATATTTTAAGAAAAGGATTTTTATCTTGGAAATCAAGATGGAATATGTTAGTTCAACAAAAGGACTATCAGACTGAACATATTAGAAAATAAAATTCTAAGGTTTGTTTACATATAAATCTTTGCAAAATTGTTACAAAAATGTGTGAACACCATCTGTACGCATGATTGATAAAAACAGGATCAAAAGTCTCATTAGAATTACGATATGAAAATGACATTAATTCCTCCCCTTTCAAATCTGAAGTCAGCAGACTAAGTGCAGCACTGTAGATAAATTTTATTGGAGTAACTCTCACCTTGAAAGAATATAACAGCACAACAGAGTCATGTTTGCTAACACTTCTTAAGCAGGCATTTTACAATGGAAAAATATTCAAAAGTGGTCATTTAAAAAAGTAAATAAATAAACAATAACTCACTAAATTACTATAATTTGAAAAATGCTATGTTTTTCTTAATAAAACTTTTACTTTCTTACTTTAAAACCCACATTTCAACAATTTTATTATAAAAATAATTTTTTAACACTATTTTAAATACAAGTTTAAAATCGTAAATATCAGAAGAATATAATTTAATTTTAATGGAAT